GGGGGCAGTCACAGCAGGAGCTCAGTTCTGGACATGCAGAGACAGATGTGCATGAACATCTAATCGGTGTCGAGCAAACGGTCTGACATGCATGAATCTGGGTTCCAGTGGAGGAGTCCAGGCTGGAGACAAGAGAGGCGGGATAAAGCCAAGAGACTGAGAAGATGCCCAGAAACTGAGTCAAGAGAGAGCCTGAGCTCTGGGCTTCTCCAGGGTCAAGGCCGGGCCAGACTGCAAAGACAGTGCTCCCTCCCAAAGGCCTGAACACAGGCCCCTCCCCCACCCCGCCAGGGGGAAGCTCAAGGCCCTGGCCCTTACCTCGGAAGGATGACGAAAGCGGTCTGACAGAGGTCTGGGACCCCTCAGGCTCCTCCGTCGACAAAGACTTTCCGCAGTAAGGGCAGAATCTGAACGCTGTTTGGATATTTTTGCCACAGTCCGGACAGAAGGTGTTCATGCTAGAAAACAGAAGTGTGCGGGAGGGAACAGGAAGGTGAAAGAGAAACTGAATTCGCTGCCAAGTTCCTTATGGTGACAGGATTGCAAAAGTAAGAAAAGCAATCACTCAGGGAATATATGCTCTCAGGAAGTGGCCACTCCTAACGTGAGCTCCCGCCCACTGTGCTCAGCCTCCAGCCATCTGTCTCTACTGGCCCAGGGCAAAGGGACAAAGCCGAAACTGCAGACCTCATCGAAAACATGAGGCTGAAAAGGAGACACATGTAATACCCTTTGTAATACTTTAAGCAATAAAAAAAAAAAAAAACACCACATGAGGCTGTCTTGAAGTCAATAAAAATTACCTAGGAGCACGGCTCTAATCACAGAAGCACTGAGGGAGAGAGCCACTGCTCACCAAATACCCACACGATCGCCTACACTTCCCAGGGTCCCTTGCAGTTAGATTGGGGCCACATGACTAGTTCTGGCCAATGGCGTATAAGTGGGAGTCATTTTCTGGCTGAGGCAGTTCAGAGCCTGAGTACCTCTTTGGGCTTCCCCTCCCCTGCAGGGATGGCCCTGGAGGACACACCCTCCAAATGATACAGCTAAGCGATGAAGGAGGGCTGCCTGGTCCACAAGGGAAGCATGCGATCAGCAAATAAACTAATGTTGTATTGAGCCACCAAGATCTCGGGTTTATTTGTTACTGCAGCCCAACCTATCCTCTCCTGACTAATTTAGTGAGACAACAGGTGCTGGCTGCATTTTCCTCTAAGCCTTACGTATCTCTGGAATATTTCCTAATACTTTAAAAATCAAAACCAAACTCACACATAGAGCCTCCCACCAATGAAGATATGACGGTGTAGTCATTTCCCAAGGCTGCCATAAAGAAATACCACAGACAGGGTGACTTCAACAACAGGAATTTATTTTCTACACAGTTTTGGAGCCTAGACGTCAGAGATGGAGGCACCAACCAATGTGGTTTCCTCTGAGGGTCTCCCTCCTTGGTTGGCAGATGGCTGCCTTCTCACTGTGTCCTCACATGGTTGTCCCTCCGTCTGTGTCCTAGTCTCATCTTCTTATAAGGACACCCGTCATATTGGGTTAGGGCCCTGCCTCAGTCTGTCTGGGCTCCTATAATAATGTATCACACCACCCTGACCGGTTTGGCTCAGAGGGTAGAGTGTCAGCCTGCGGACTCAGGGGTCCCAGGTTCAATTCCGGTCAAGGGCATGTACCTTGGTTGCGGGCACATCCCCAGTAGGGAGTGTGCAGGAGGCAGCTGGTTGATGTTTCTCTCATTGATGTTTCTAACTCTCTATCCCTCTCCCTTCCTCTCTGTAAAAAAAAATCAATAAAATATATATTTTTTAAAAAACGTATCACAGGCTGGGTGGCTAATAAACGACAGGAACTTATTTCTCACAGTTCTGGACCCTCTTCTGGGTTGCAGACTGACAACTCCTTGCTGTGTCCTCATGCAGTGGAAGGGGTAGGGGGCTCTCTGGGATCTCATTCACAGAATATTAATCTCACTCATGAGGGCTCCACCCTCATGGCTTAATCCCTCCCAAGGTCCCACCTCCTCATACCATCACACTGGGCATTAGAATTTCAACCTGTGTATTTTGGAGGGACCCAAACATTCAGACCACAGCAGGCCCACCCTAACAACCCCATTTTAACTGAACACACTGCGGGCGGATCACGAGAATTCTCGCTTCATAAAGTATCATACTTTAAAAAGATATTAGCTTGTAAGAACATGTAATAAGTAACTTCAACATGCAATGGGTATTTAATTTTAAAGCGTGCCTTTAACATTTATGTAAAATGGGTTTTTTTGTACTCGTTCAATAGGAACTTATCTGGCCACTGGGTAAAGCTAGCAATAAAACTACTGGTCCGCAATGTGTTAATTATCTCTTTAAAGGCGCTATCTCCAAATATGGTCACATTCTGAGGTATTTGGGCTTTAGGTTTCCACACACAAATTTTTACAGGGACAGTTCAGTCCATAAGAGCAGGATTAAACTAGTTAATAAGTGAGGAGACAATCGGCAAGGATGACAGTGCAGTAGACGTTTCAAATGAATATATTTTAAATAGCTAAAGAAAAAATGATCTTATTTATTCTTTATCCTACGACTCAGTGTACAGTACCAATTATAAACGGGATTATGAAAATAGAAGTCAAAATAAACTCGGGCTTGTGGTTTCATTTCACCGTGTAAGAGAAAGTTCTTCCCCTTTTACCTATTTGTGGCAATTAAAAGTTGTATGTTTATGGTATATGTGATATTTTGGTATATGTACATTGTGAAATGATTACCATAATCAAACTAATCAATGTATCCATCACTTCCCATAGTTATGTGTGTGTGCGTGTGTGTGTGTATGTGTGTGTGGTAAGAACACTGAAGATACTCTTAGCCAATTTCAAGTACAAAATACATTATTATTTACTACAGTCACCATGCCATACATTAGGTCTCAGAACTTATTCACCTTATAACAAGAAGTGTGTATACCCTTTCATCAATATCTCCCCATTTATCCTACAGCCTCCGGTAACCACTGTTCTATTCTCTGTCGGTATGAATTGGAATTCCTTTTAGATTCCACGTATAAGTGAGATCTTGCAATATTTCTGTGTCTGGCTTAGTCTAATCAAATGCTCTTCCTTTATTTACTGTAAAAGTTGGTCTCCGTTGCAATTGCAAAACAGAGTTCTTTAAAATCACAGGTTCTAGCCCTAGCCGGTTTGGCTCAGTGGATAGAGCGTCGGCCTGCGGACTGAAAGGTCCCAGGTTCGATTCCGGTCAAGGGCATGTACCTGGGTTGCAGGCACATCCCCAGGAGGAGATGTGCAGGAGGCGGCTGATCGATGTTTCTCTCTCATCGATGTTTCTAACTATTTGTCTCTTCCTCTCTGAAATCAATAAAATATATTTAAAATAAAAAAATAAAAATAAAATAAAATACTGTATATCTAAATAAATAAAAAAATAAAGCCACAGGCTCTAGTCCCCGGCTACCTGGATGTGAGTTCCAGATCTGCAGTGTGCTAGGCACCTAACTTAACCTCCCTGCGCCTGTTTGCCCAACAGTAAAATGGTGCTTCCACTCTACCTGACAGAGTGGCTGCTGAGGCCTAAGTGAACAGAGTTATTCCAAGTGCTGAGAACAGGACCTGGCCCACAGAGAGCCTTTTATGTTTGTGGTCGTTATTATCATGTCATGCTATGCATTTCACTAATATTCCATTTGTTAATATTTCTATTTTTCCCTTTTTTCTTCCCACACCATTAGTTCTGAGCCTCTCAGGCCTGTTTCCTCTGGGTGCTGCCTCATGGGATCCCAGGACCCACCCTGAAAAAACACAGGCTGTCCAAACAGCGAATGAAAGAAATCTCAGCTAGAAGACAGGGTTCCTTTTCCCCTAGGTCTGCAGAAGAGCAGAAACCACGCCGTGGCGTAAAACTGCCCTTCTGTTATTTTCCACGAAGGAGGTGGAGTCTAGCCACCTGACTGCAAAAACGGCGGGCCAGAGAGATATCCCTTAGCTTCTAAGAAGTCTGTAATTCTGATTGGTTGTGCAACTTCATAATTTACTGTCCCGGCCATAGCACTGAAATGGGTATTTCTATTGTCTCAAAAAAAAAAAAAAAAGCGGTTTTGTTACGCAACAGGAATCACCACCACTTCTTCCTTCTCTCTGAGGCCACGGCAAACCTGAAGCTGAAGCACAGTAACCTCCCTCTTGTATAAAACTGCTGTTTGACTTCTCTGCTATTGTTAGATAGTCCCTAGTCCTGTAAACTCTGTCATTTTTAGACAGTCTCTTATTCTATAAAATAACTGTTTTAGTTTGAATAATAGAAAAAGATAAAAACTTAACTGCCTGACCTTGCAAGCTAGCCATCTAATGTAATGGACGAATAGTGATAATAATTCCCATATTCTTATGCCAAATGTTTGTTCTTTATGTATCCAAGATTACAAACTGTAACAATGACTCACACAGAGCTCTTTGTAATATCTGCGAACAAAGAAGCTCGAAAAGTATAAATACGGGAAACTTCCTATATGTGTTGCTCAGAGATCTGAAAGAGACACCTCCCTCTGGGCCACTCGCAATAAATGACTCCAAATTAATAGGCTCATTAAGGCGTCTTGTATCTCACTCGCTGATTTATGACACAACAAAGCCCTTGCGTTAATGGAGCCAAAACTGCCTAGATGGCTACCCTGAAGCGTTGTTCCAGACTCTGTGTTAGTGAGAAACTTGTGCTTGGGGTAAGCCACTGAGACTTGGGGGCTGTTGTTACTGCAGCATGGTCTAGCCTCGTCTGACTAACACACTGACACTCTGCAGGATTACGTAGGGAAACAAAAGTTAAAGGTTCTAATATAAAGGTTCTAAGACAGGGCATGGCTAAAGGCTTAGCAGAGGAGGGACAGTTGTTTGGGGACCTAGTTTCATTCATTCACTCAGTAATTATTCACTGAACCCCTAATGTGTGCCAATCCCTGGGGATACAGCAGCAATGGAAACACAGCTCTGCACCTGACAAAGCTCACTCTCTAGGGTGGGGAGGGACCAGATAAACAAATGAGCAAGTAACTATTTAATACAGGTGGCGGACATCCGGCCAGCAGGCTGTATAAGGTCTGGCCCTTCCAAGGGACCTGGGGTGAGTTGATTAAATGTTGGACCAAATCTAACAGGCTAATTTTTTTTTAAGTTTTTTAAAATATATTTTATTCATTTTTTTGCAAAGAGGAAGGGAGAGGGATAGAGAGTTAGAAACATTATCAGCTGCCTCCTGCACGCCCCCTACTGGGGATGTGCTGGCAACCAAGGTACATGCCCTTGACCGGAATCGAACCTGAGGCCCTTCAGTCCGCAGGCCGACGCTCTATCCACTGAGCAAAATTGGTTAGGGCCAGGCTAATTCTTAAGTTGATAATTTTGCATGGCCCACAAATGATGTTACAAATATTCAAATGGCCCTTAGCAGAATGAAGGTCCCTCACCCCTAATTTAATAGGTCAGATGGAGACAGGGCCATGGTAAACGCTCAATAACTATGGATGGGAGAAAGAAGGGACTGAGAGTGCTGACGTCACCTGCCCAAGGTCACATGGCTACTTCAGAGCTGAAACCCAAGGCCCCAATCCTCAGGCTAGTCGTTATCACTCATTCCTTTATTTATTTCACAAATATTTACGCAACATCTGCTATGTGTTAAATATGATGTGTGTCCCTCCTGAAAGGATCTGAGACATGGCACAGCTGAAGGCTAGACTCCACCTTAGCAGAGGAGGGACCGTTGTTTGGGGACCCTGACTCGCCTCAGCCCCGCCCTAAGCAGAAACCAGGGGTGACGTAGTGCCAAAGGGCGGGGGGAGGGGCGTCTGTCAACCTCTCATTAGCTCCACCCTTCTAAGCTGTAGCCACGCCCACCACGCAGAGCCGACAGTAGGTTGTGACCAAAACAACTTCTCTCGTCCCCAGACCCGCTCCCGGGCCCTCTCCCCTCCCCCTCTCACAAAGGGTCTTGCTGACGTCACAGGCACCACGACCGAACTGTGCACAGCGCGTCAGGGGACTTTCTCCCCTGCTAAGCCTCGCCTTCCTCTCACTTCTGGACGTGGTGAGCCGAGTGGAGACCCAATACCTGACTCACTTCGGGCACCGGGACTCACCTTTTCAGTGGCCCCCCGAAAACTTCCGCCGGGGAGGAAGGCGCTGCGCGCGCATTCTCCGCCTTGAGGCAGGCCTGCGCCCGCGCAGGCGCTGCTTGTCCCTCGACTGCCCGCGGCCTGTGCGCCTACCACCGAACTACATTTCCCACAGGCCTTCGCGGCAGGCCAGCCCTCTGACTCAAAGCAGGAGGTGGAACTATTAGCTGATGGCCCACCTCTTTGGAACGCTGCCTGGTTCTACTGCGCATGTGCCGCACTACAAGGCGCGCTTCCGCCAATCAGCAGACGTCACTTTATTTCTCTCGCCTCTGGCGCGAGACTTCTTAACGTGTTTCTATGGCAACCGTCGGGATGTCTCCTTGAAAAAAATCAAAAGCCTCCCCTTCTTCTAGAAAAGCAGAAGGCTAATTAGATTGTTCTTCAGCAGAATAAAAGCTGGGCTATTAAATCCAGTCACCGCCGGATTTCGATAGCGGGAACCTCTTACCGACCGGTAAGTGGACGGAGACGGGCCGACGAGCACGGCCCTCTGGGAAACGCGGTCTCGCGCTGGCACGGAGGGTCCCGCGTGGAGAAATTCCGAGATTCGCGCGGCACCGGAAGTGGCTGTGAGGAGGCCGGTGTGAGGGGATTCGGGTCTCCGGCTCCACCCGGGCTGGAGTCGCGTCTGTTAACTCGGCGGACCGCCACCTCGAGGTGAGGAGATGCCGGGCTGGGGTCGCTGAGACTCGGGGTTTGGGGTGGGGGGCCGTCTTCCCTGAGGGAGATGGGATGCCCCTGTGGCGTCTACGGCAAACGGCGCGTCGCCTCGGGCGGTGGGTGAAGGTAAAGGCTTACGGGCCCGGCTCTCGTTCTAGTCGTTTCCAGCCCTCGTCGGCAGCCGCGAGGGGAGCGATGCCATTTCATTTTCTTTTGGGGTGAGGACACTGAACCAGGAGGGGGTGCCGTTGGCAGAATTGCGCAGGATCTTGAGGTGACTGAGTGGGCGTTTTTCAGGGGTGGTGGGGGAGAAAGGGTTGAACGCTGGCGGGAGCGCGGCCTGTGTGCCACGCGCCCTGCCGTCCTCGCCTTTTCTCCGGTAGCCTCCGCGGTCTTATCGGATAACCTGAGCGTCGTCTCGGAAATCAGACTTTACAAAGCAAACAGGGTGTATATTTCATAATTAGACAGCCCCCCGCCCTCAGCGGGATCTAGGGCAATTCGTGGAAATCAAATATTCCTGTCAGGAAAGGCGTGAATAATCACACTGAAAGGAAGGAAGACGGTACATAGCCCGTGGCAATTTGGGTTTAAGTTTTGCTGCGAATTTATGAAGTTCTGGTTTTTAGAATTACAGAGAAGGGACCGTGGATCCGTTGTGTCCGTCTCATTTTGTACGTGTGGGAACTGAGGTGCAGAGAGGGTGGGTGATCTGGCCGTCGTCCCACACTAAGGCGAAGCGAGGCCCTAGGGCAAGCGTGTCAAACTCGAAGGCTAACACGGGCCAAATAAACACAGTGGAAGTGTCTGTGGGGCCGCAAAAAAAACAAATGCTTCAATTTTCATAGAAACGTAGGTTTATTTCGATAGAGACATGCTGAATGCAAAGGGCTGAACTAAATGAGTCATTAACATAAAATAATAGAACATTTTAATAAAAATTAATATTTTTCTTGAACATTATCTTATCAGACACTGAATAACTGCACAGATTAATACGTGTCACGCAAATAAACCAATTTTTCTTGTTCTCCAAAAGCGAAACATTTTCTGTTGCACATACTAAGTATGTCAGTACAAGACTAATGACATGGCAGTCGGCTGCTAGAATATTCGCTGCTGGTATTAGTGGAGAGAAATGGTACGCCTGCGCGTAAGGCATAAGGAAAATGAATGCAACAAGATTATAGTCACTAGTCATTAGCAAATGTTGTAGTTCGTTGTTAATAATTACGTGTAACAGGATATTGTAAAAATTAAGTTATGAAATTTTTCTTAAAACGTTTATTACATACCGTTATATTGGCTGGGCCGCAAAAATACTCGTTTCAGTCCGCGAGTTTGACATGCTTGCTCTAGGGCGCAAGGTTTGGTTCAAGTCACTCCCACAGGCTGGGTGACCTTGAGTGGTTCCCCTTCCTTCCTAGGGCTGAGGGTGTAGGAGATGTGGACAGATCATGAGTTGGAAACTAGACAGAGGTCTCAAGCCTCAGGTAAAGGAGAGAACCTGCCTGGTCAGGACTAAGGGACATCAGGGAGTCTTTGCCCCATTTAAGGGGGAGTAGATTTAAATGAGCTCCAACTAGCTAGCTTGGTGGTATGCCGACTCAGCATAGCCAATTCCTAGGTTTTTTTCAGAAGCTGGAGATCTAGAAATATTGAAGTGTTCAATAACAAAATGCTGCTGGTCCTACACCGCACCGGGATTTTCATGAAATATACTGTGTAAATATACATCACCTTTTTAAAATCTGAAAATTTCTGAATTTCAAAGCACATGTGGCCCTAGAGGCTCTAGAATTGTGGGCCTGGGTCATTGAGTCATCCTGCTTTGCGATATGGAGTGTTTTCAGCGCTCCATGGTTACACGCTCCTCAGGAAATTCAATGTCTACAAACGTCTAAAAAGCCCTCAGGTACAGTGTTTCGCATATTGTGGGTCATAAAAATAACTCACTGGGCAATGATCATATCATTTTTTTTAATATATATTTTATTGATTTTTTACAGAGAGGAAGGAAGAGGGATAGAGAGTTAGAAACATCGATGAGAGAGAAACATCGATCAGCTGCCTTCTGCACACCCCCTACTGGGGATGTGCCCGCAACCAAGGTACATGCCCTTGACCGGAATCGAACCTGGGACCCTTCAGTCCGCAGGCCGACGCTCTATTCACTGAGCCAAACCGGTTATGGCTATTTTTTGATGAAGTAAAAAGCAACTAACTGAGCCAAACCGGTTAGGGCTATTTTTTAATGAAGTAAAAAGCAACTGTGTAAGATTAAGTATTATCTCATGAAACTTTTGTATGTGTGAATGAGCAGTCATGATATCCTATATAATAAAGAGGTAATGTGCAAATTGACCATCACTCCAACACACATGGACACAAGATGGCCTGCAGGGAAGGGCAGTTGGGAGGGACCAGGCTGGCAAGGGATGGCAGTTGGGGGTGACCGGGCTGACAGGGGAGGACAGTTGGGGGGGACCACAGCCTGTTGAGGAGGGCAGTTGGTGGCAATTGGGCTGGCAGGGGAGCAGTTAGGTGTCAATTAGGCTGGCAGGCAGAAGCGGTTAGGGGCAATCAGGCAGGCAGGCAGGCGAGTGGTGGGAGCCAGCAGTCCTCGATTGTGAGAGGGATGTCCTACTGCCCGTTTTCGGGCCACCCTCAAGGGGTCCCAGATTGGAGAGGGTGCAGGCTGGGCTGAGGGACACGCACACCATCACCCCACACACACACACACACACACACGAATTTCGTGCCCCGGGCCTCTAGTGTGTGTGTGTGTGTGTGTGTGTGTGTGTATATATATATATATTGCCTTTGTTTTTGTGGGTCATGATTAAAAAAGGAAGTCGAAGAACTCTTGCCATTATAGAAATAGCAACAGTTTGAAGACCAACACAGTTGGACTCAAATCCTAGGGATGACATAGTATAACCCGAAATCTCAGAAGCATTGTCCCAAGGGTTCTATTAGAGACACGTGTACTCTGTGAACAGACATCCAGTGCTGGGCTAGGACACAGCAGTGCCCAAGACAGCAGGTCCGAAATGTGTATTCATTAATTGTGATTAGTGCGAAGAATGGCTGTGAAGTTGCTTTGTAGATTTTGAAGCGTAGTGAAGCTTGGGGCTGAGGTAGTTTCAATAAATAACAATTGTTGTGATTCCTGCAGGGAGACTCATGTTCTGACTCATCCTACTTCTGGACATTTTGGGGGCTCATCGAACATGGCCATGAAGTCAGTCCTAGAAGGAAGGAAGACTGTCTCCCCGTTTCCTTATCCTTCCTGCGGCCCTGCCAGCTGGGAACATGGAGGGGAAGAAGGGGGAGCTTAAACTAGGACTCGGGCTGCTGGGCCAGGTCGGCTATTACTGAGGTGAGTTGAGAGTCCCGCCATCCCAACAGATCATCCCCAAAGGCTGCACAGGGGGCCTGTCTTTATTCCAGGCTCACTACTATGGTGGCCCCAAGCGATCTTAAAGGAAAGCTCTCATATTCTTTCTCTCCTGCTTAGTACCCTTCCAGGAATCCTTATTGCTAACGGGATAAAATCCAGGTTTCTCAGCGC